CAAGCCTCCGGGCCCCCCCCCCCCCCCTCCCCTCCATTCCATCCCAGTCCTGTCCCCAGGACTTGGGAAGCTGCTGTAGGAAAGCGCTGCCCCCCCCCCCCCCCGGCCGTGGGGTTGGAGCACGGGCGCCTCGCCTGCAGGCCTTGCGGGGACGGCCATCTGCTGGACGCTCCAGGCCCAGGGCCTGTGACCCTCGGCCGGGCCTCCCATCCCCAGAGCCGTCCGTGCCAGACGGAGTCTCCCTCGTGACACTGCCCTGTGCCCCCAGTAGCGTCGCTGCCTGGTGTCCGTGTTCTCTGTGACCTTTGTGTGCTGTGTCTGTGTTGTGGGCTGGGCGAGCCGGGCCCGGCACGGAGAGTCTGTAACTTCTTTATTTGAAAATACAAACGTGATCTCGTAAAACGTTTTTAAATCGCTATACACACCAAATAAAAGTTAACTTTACACGTTTTGTACACGTACATGAAAACGTAAGTACGCTCGAGGGGGCGCACCCTCCCACACCCTGCACGGAGGGCCGTGGCCCGGGCCGTGCCCGGAGACGCTCGTGCAGATGAGACGGAAGGTCCCGGGGCTTCTGGAATGTTCCCGACCGACTCCGTGAGAACACGGGGCCACCCGGCACCCAGAAGTCCGCGCACGGCCGGCGACCCCGAGGCAGCTCCTTTGGAGGGGAGCCGTCGGCCAGGCCGCGTAAGTGTCCACACGCCTGAACTCGACGGCTAGCGGGGCCCGCCAGCCAGGGGTTCTTGCACGGGGGTCGGCCCCTCCTGGCCAGGTGGGGACAGGAGCTCCATGACCACGTGACCCGCTTCGTGTCGAATAAAGATTCGTCATCTCCTACAAATCACTTCACTTTCTATAAAAGACAGCTCAACATCAAACAGCCTTGACTTTTACACACAAGCTGCCTCGCGTCCAGCTGGCTGGCCCGGACCCCCGGCCGCGGGCGCACATCACGAGGGCTGTAGGTCGGCGTCGTCGCACGCGTACTCGTACAGGTCGACGGTGCCCAGGGCCGGGGGCGCCTCGAAGAAGGGCCTCTGGGCCAGCGGAGACCTCAGGACGCTCAGCTTCTGGTCCACGGGACTGAGCTCGGCTTCGTACCTGCAAAGCAGGGGCTCGTGAGTGTGCTGGGGTGCGGCCGAGGCGGGCGGCCCCCACGAGCCCCCACGTGGGCCGAGCTGTGGAAGGCCCTCCGCGAACTGCCCGTGGCCGCGGGCCGTGGGCGCCAAGGCCACCTGGCGGAACTCGGCGTTGGGTCTGGACGGATGCCGCGACCCCTGGTCACGATGACCCATCTGCACGAAGGACTGGGGACAGGGCAGGGACGCGTGCCAACTTGCGGTCGGCGTCGTAGCCGACGTTCTAGGCCGTGCCGCGGGCCGGCGGAGAGGAGATCGAAGCGTGCTGCTCCAGGCCACGTGCCTGTCGGGGCAGAGGTCCCCGCCGACCCACGACACGCTTACGCGGCCACCGACTACGGTTACCACAAGAGGCAAGTGCAAGGTCGGTAAGCCCCACGGGGGTCGCCAGCAACGCGCAGCGGTATGCTGCAAGTTTCGAACCTCCTCAGGGCACCGGGGTGCCTCAGTCCGCTAAGTGTGTGACTCTTGACTTGGGCTCGGCTCACCATCTCACAGTTCGTGGGTTCGAGCCGTGCGTCGCGCTCTGTGCTGACAGCCGGGAGCCTGCTTGGGATGCTCTCTCTCTGCCCCTGCCTTGCTCATGCTCCCGCGCTCTCTCAAGAGTAAATCTTAAAACCCTACCTTCCCGACACCCCAACATCAGGAAGCCCTTCTGTGACAGAAGGCGAGAAGATCCACGTGCTGAAAACCACAAACTATTTCCCGGCAGAAGAGTCAGAGACCCAACTTGGCAGACAGCGCGCACGTCTGCGGATCAGGGAGCGCGGCGTCGCGGAGAGGCCCAACACCTCCACGCCGGGTGCGATTCTCAAACACGAGTCATCGAAGCTTCCGTCTGTTTTGTGACAGCACACCTGCACGAGGCCGGTGGCAACGGTTCATGTCGGCCCGGAACCGAGGGGAAGCCACCCAATGTGGGTCACCTGGTGGGGGGTCGCCCGCGGCACAGAAGGGGCCCCCCCACGAGCCCGGTGAACGGCACGCCTCTGCCACACCTTGGGCCCACAGAGGCGGTGTGGAGGGACGTGGGGGTGCGCTTCCGTGACGGCCCGGAAACGCACGATGGCCGAAGGCCAGCACCTGCCAGGGGCCCAAGTGGGGAGGGGTTTGGGGGTGACAGACGCACGCCCTGCTGGATCTCAAACTCTCTTGGGAGTGGGGGTCAAGACCCTGGCGGCCCCGTGGCCGCCGAACGGGGGTCGGGGGGGGTGCCTCTCCTACGCGGGCCCCGCTCCTGACCCCGTGTGACCCTGACCCCGGGGCCAGGCGGCCCTGAGGGGGCAGGGGGCGGGTGGGTGAAGAGCCCTGACGGGAGCAGAGAACCCGTGTGCCGCCTGAGCCTGTCTGGTGCCTGTGTGGAGGCTGGGATGCCTGAGCCCCCCACCGTCTGCACCCTGCACGCCCAGCCACGCTTGTGGGAGCAGATGCCCCGCTGATGCCACACGCGGCCAGCCCCGGGTGAGAGGGCGTCCATCTGCACCTGGGCCCCGATGCCCCTGTCCCCCCACGGGCCTCGGGTGCAGACACCAAAGACGAGATTCCCCGCCGCGGTGGCCCCGTGAGGGTGTGTTGGGTCCCAGCTTCTGAGCTGGCCTCTCAGACCCCAGCCCCGCAGTGCGTCCGCCCTGCCAGGCTCCTCGGGGAGCCCCCCACCCGGATCACTGCCTGGGCCCCCCGTTCAGCGTGGTGGGGGAGGGGGACGGCTCGGCAGGTCACGTCCTGGGGAGCACGCAGCACGTCGGGGTGGGTGTGGGGGACAGGAGGGGACAGATCGTGCCCTGGGCGGCAGGCCTCATGCGGCCCCGCCGCAGGGCCCGCTCTGGGCGGACCTGGCTGCCGCTCGCGGGTCCCAGCCCGAGGGGACAGGAGGCAGCACTGGGGCTGTTTCCGGGGAGGGGGCGGGGAGGGGGCGGGGCAGGCCGGGCGGGCGGGCACTCGCTCCGGGGTCCCCGCGTGGCCACAGAGCCTGGGGAAGGGGCCTCGCGGTGGAACTCTGCCGGGGCGGGGTTTGTGTCCGGGCCGCCCGGCGAGCGCGAGTTCCCTCTCGGGTTCGGGACACCCGCAGCTGCCTTTCCCTGCCCACGGGGTCCCTTCTCGTGGGGGCAGACACTCGTCACACGGATGTCAGAGGCCCCACCGGAGCCAGGGGGCGGCCCCCGGGAGTCGCCGGCTCTGGACGGAGCCCGTCCGGGGTCGGGCACGTGTGGTTTGAAAGGAGGCGCCCGCCGGCCGCTCGGCACCCGCGTCCGCCCGGCTGTCCCCGCGTCCCCGCGTGCACACTCACTCACCCGTCCTCCCACGGCTCCCCCGCAGCCTCCTCGGCCACCAGGATGTCGTACTCCTCAGCCGCGTACTTCTCCCAGTCGGAGAGCTCGGGGCCCTCGCTCTCACTCTCCTGGATGAGACACGGGCGTCACGTGGCGCAGACGAGGCCGGCACCCCACGCGCTCCCTGCCACGCCTGCCACGCTCACCCTGAGCAGGGACACCTGTTCCTTCTGCTCGTGGTCGAGGTATTTCTCGATGTTGAAGAAGGTGTCAAAGAACACGTTGGCCAGTTTGCAGTTTTTCAGATCGTGGAGCGTGATTTTCCCTGCGGGACGTGAAGCGTTTTCAAGACGGTTACTCCTGGGGGCGCGTCCACGAGGGTCCGTCGGGGGGTATGCGTCCTAACTCGCCGAGAAACTGCACTTTGTGACACAACTGGGCAAAACACACACGTGCAAGAGGGGGTCCCCGGTGTGGGCGGACGGCTGGGGGGGGGGTGGGCAGCCGGGACCAGAGGCCTGGAGTCCTGTGTGGCCCGGAATGGGTGAGAGGACGCAGGCACGCACGCACGCGGAGGAGGAGCGCAGGAACAGAGAGGAACTCGGCCACCAGGGGGCGCCCGCCACCCACATCACGGAGCCAACGACCGGGGACGGCAGCAGGGCCCCCAAGCTGCGGCCAGGACCCCGGGATGAGGGGCAAACACAGCGAACACCCCAAGACCGTGTTTCCTCCGGACACGGAAACACGAGACGAACGGCGGCCTCACGGCCCGGGAACAGTCTCCCTCCGTCCCTCTCAAGGTGCCCTGGGGTCCTTCCTTGTGCCACCGCGGGCCTGCCCCTTGGTCACGGGCTTCTCAGCTGAGGGGTGTCAGGGGACCCCTCCCCCTCCCCCCGACCGACCCCGCGGTGTGGGCGCCAGGGGCAGGGACCGGAGCCGGTCGGGGCAGGGCGGGGGGAGGGGGGGGCCGGTGTCCACGGTGCTGTCCCACACCGGGAGTCTGAGCTCCGTGTCGCCAAGGTGGGAAACGCGGGAGCACAGGCGGCGAGACGCAGGGTCAGGGACATCCACCTTCCCGACGCGGGCGGGACGGGGGTCCTCAGCAGACCGCCCAGGGCCTTCCACAGGTGAGGGCTGCGGAGGGCGCCGGAAGCGAAGCCACGGGACCAGGGGCACCACGAGCTCCCCCTGCCGCTCCCCCTGCCGTGGGTGGGGCCCTGCGACGTGGTTGGTCCCAGCCCTCCCCGAGGCCCCGCCCACCGCGTCACCGACTCGGGGCGGGGCGGGGCCGGCCGGCACCAGAGTGGGCGTCCCTCGCGTCCGAGGGCCTGTCCTCCTCCGCGGGAGCCTCTCTCACACGGGGGGGGGGGGGGGGGGGCCCCCCACCCCGCGCCACACGGGCATGTCCCTGACATGGGGGACCCGCGCTCAAGCGCAGCTGCCCGCACCTGGAGGCGTCCCACGTCACAGGGAGAGCGGCCCCTCGCTCGGGGTCCCTTACACAGGAGGCCTCGCCATGCCAGGGGCACGTCTCCTCCCGCGGGGCAACGTCCCACAAGGGGGGCACCCCCATACCGAGAACATCCCACACGGGTGGCCCCTCACATGTCCCAGGGGTCCTTCCCTCACACAGCAGGGGGCATCCCATCTCGGGGGAGGGACATCTCACGCCACAGGGGCATCTCCTCACACACACGGGGGGGGGGGGGG